TTTCCCTCCCCAACTTAAAGCCCAGCTTTGCTTGGTTTCTTTGAAGTGTCTAAGGCGAGGAAAAGGGAAGCAAGGTTGTTGAAGGGACCTGAAGAGGAGGAAGAGGCTGGGCAGCCCTGGGGCCAGGAGGAGGGTTTTCCTCACTTCTCCAGGGCTTCATACTTCTCTTCCGTGTTCCTGGTGTTATTGAACTAATGTCTTCTATGAACCTGAGAAAGGCTGCCTCTGGTTCTTCAAGGGTCAGGAAGAAGGGGTAGGCCAGAAGTCATGAGTGGTGAAGACCAAAAAATATAAACTTCTGAGGCTAAGGAAGGAGGTATAGAAAGGAAGGTGAGGCTAAGAAGTATCCCTGAGTTCAGGTGCCAGCAAGAAGCCACAACCCTCAAGAGCCTGGTTTCAGTAGTGGTATCTGAAAATGTCTGGCTTCACAGTCAATCTCACCATAAGGCAAGGGTGGTGCTGTGTAAATGTGGGAGAACCAGAGAGCCCCCTTCACTCAGATTTTCTCATCCTCCATGAGAGCTGAGAGAGTACCCCAAGAATCCTGTATGAGTCTCCATGGGACCTTCAGCTGTAGGGTTTTTACTCTAATATAAAGGATACTATGAAGTATCACTTCCACCCAAGTGTCCCTGATTTCCCCTAAGGACCTCTCTTCTTGCTTTCCATGGCTCCTTTATGGTACTCTCATCACAGTACAATGCATTATAATGAACTGTTTGTTCACTTGTATTCCTGTTAGGCCATCAGTTTTGCCGAGGAAGGGTCAGTCTTTTCATCTACATCTTTAGTCCTAGCACAGGGCCTGGCACAAAATAGGTGCTCAGGGAACACAGACAGCTTGACTGAATAAGTAAATGAGTAAATTCAGGAGAGAAGAGAAACCCAGCATTCCAGGCATAATCCTGAAGTTCCATAAGGAAGATGAGAAAGAGTTGGTGTCCTCTGGTTTTTGACTCTAGCCCGGGCCATAATTTACAATGTTGTGTCTAATTACTGAACTAGGTTTTCTTGTCTTACCCATGGTATCTCAGAGTCTAAAGCCTGTCCAGATGTGGCTTTTGGCTTTGCTGCTTCTGTCTTGATGCTGATGGCCCGTAGTGCCAGTGCCCCCCACAACACCAGGGAGCCTTGATTGAAAGGGCAGGGTATAGGCAGAGTCACAATGGGGTTGGTGGGGGCCAGGATTCTACTACAGAAATTCTAAACTCCATCTAGAATAGCAGGATACACTGGATGAGGAGGTGAGGTGTGGAAGTGAAGAAGGGTCAGTGCTCAGAGGTCAAGGCCGAGCCTGAGGGCCTGGGAGAGTCAAGTCCAAGCACAGATGTGGGAGTCAGTGCCCAGCTTTCAGATGAAGACTGAAGTTTAATAGGGAGACTGGCAACTACACCTCAGACTCCTTAAAATAGGATAACTGACAACTGGCTTCGTATTCCAGAGTGGTGCTCTCTATTCTCTGCCCTGATTCTAAACCCTCTTCCTGTTATGAGTGGACAAGAACTGACAGGGGGAGGAGATATCATCTAGGACACCATTTTGGTTCTGTACAACACAGTTGATTCCGTGATCACATAATCACATTTGCATGATAACATCTCTTTACGCTTAGAACATCTCCATACAGCATATAGCTATTTTTACATGAAGGATGTCTCCAGCCCAGACCATCTCTTGAACTGCAGACCCACGTAGCAGTCTGTTTACGAGACTTTCACCAGTGTGTTCCACAAGCACTTCAGATGTATTATATTCAATCATTCCTTCCAAACCTGGCCCTTGTCCATTGTCCTCTGTTTATTCAACACATACTTAGCAAGCATCTACTGTTTCAGGTATTCACTTAATGGATGGCACCATTATCCAATCAGTTACTTAAGCCAATAACCTAGATGTTATTCCAGGCATGTCCCTCTCTTATCCTACACATCCAATAATCTAAAGGTCAGTTTTACCTTCTTAACATTCCTTGACTTTGTCTACTTCTTTCCACCTCCACCCATCTACTTCTTACCTGGTTTATGACCAGTGCCCCACAATGTAGTCTTCCTGTCTCCAGTCTTCTCTTTCTCCAGTCTACCCTACTGCTAGAGTGATTTTGCAGAAACACAAATCTGTTCATGTCTGTTCATGTTATTATCCCATTTAAAATCTTTTAGTGACTCTCAATTGCCCTCAGGATATAATCCCAGCTCCTGAGTTTGGCACATTAATGCCTGTGCAATCCTGCCCTTCCAGAGCTGAGCTGGGTTACTCTCTCAACACTATGCAGCAGGCACACTGTGTTACTTACAGTTTTCTGCTGATACCTTGCCCTGTCATGTCTCGCCATATCCCACTTTTTACCTGGCTGCCTCTTCTGACTCATCTTATAGATTTCAGCTGTGAAGTGATCCCTTCCAAAGATTATTCTTCAAGCTCCCACAACTGAATGTCCCTTTTTTTCTGCTCAGGTAGCACTGTGAGCTGAGCTCAATCATAGTAATTATTAGAATGCGTTATAATTATCCTTTTACTTATTGGTGTCTCTCATTAGTGTATAAGTTATTTAACGGATTTTGTCTCTGAAACCCCACCAGCACCACCACTTCCACAGCTAGCTCAATGCCTGGCACATTGCTGGTACTCAATAAATGATGAACAAATAAAATAAAAGCTTACACTTGATACTTCTCTACAGAGCACATATACTAACTCTCTAGAGACCAGAGATCCCTAATATTAGAAGGGAACCCCAAATGTCTGGTCAGGATTGAATGATACTTAAATTTCAGTATACAAATGCCTGTTTAAACAGGAAAATGAAGAAGTCCAATTTTAAGAGTGCAGTAGCCTTGAAAAGTGGGGAGTAGACAGGAAGTTCTGAGGAGGAGAATGAGGGGACTGAACAGACCCTACATTTATAAGAAGAGTAAGAAAGAGTGACAGAAGATGTTAAAATAAGCAAACAAAACTGTTTCAATGACCGAAGTGAGACTGAGAAACAAATGAGATCACTGTGACTTTCTTGTCCTGGGGTAGAGTGGGGAAGGTCCCTACATGGGACTGAGAAAAATCAGTTACATGGAGGAGGGATAGAGATAGAATTATTTGGTGGTCCTTATATCTTAGGCCCATTTGTTTTGACATAACTCTACTCCCATCATAAGGGGAAAGAAAGTATGAAAAACTAAAATAAATGAAGTGACATACATTGAATTCAGTCTAGAAACCCCAGAATCCTCACAGCAGGCCAGGGTAATCTTACCAAAGGTAATCTCTATAGATATGAAGTTCAGTAACACAGGTACATGTGCCCGCACCCAGGATGGCATGTGTTTACACAGTACATCTGGACACCCTTTATAGATAAGCACAGCACGCCACTAACAGGACTGTCAAAGGTACTAATTCTGGGATGAGACTCGGAAACAGCAGAGCTAGAAGATATGACTTTCCTCTTTGGTGGAGACTCACAGCTTTTGGGTACCCAGGTGATTATGGGTCTTGTATGAAGAGGTGACAGCCTTTTAATGGAGTTCCACCAAGGGGATCAAGGCCTTTTGCCAGGTAAGAGCAACAAATCACCCGGAGACTGTCCAGATCCTGGGCTACCTCTGCCTTAGGGTTTGTTAGGTATAGGCGAACTGAGCCCTAGATCTGGGGCTAGCCTGTGGCCCTTTTGATTTTAACATCTTTAGTTTGGCCACATGTCCCTACCTGGGCTTTATATGAATATCCCACTTTTTGTCTGCATCCATGCCATCCACCTTGGCCCACCTGTCTGCTCCCTTCCCAGGTTCTAGGCAGGTGGCATTGCCATTTTCACAAGGGGCAACTAACCACTGAATGGGCAAGTTCTCAGAACCTGTTGAATTGGAGGGTGGCCATGGGCCTGTCAGAAGCCTCTGAAAGGCTGCCTGGGCTCACCTGTCTGGATGGCATTCAGGGCTGCATTCTTCTCCCACTGGAAAAGATTATTCACCTGAGCACCAAACTTCTCTCTGTGCATTGCCTTAGCCACTTCCACCAACTCTGCCTGTTTAGCAGGGACCACTGGGTGGGCTTTGTAACCTGGGAAGGGAGAGGCTGAGTAACCAAGGGGATGAGAAGAGGCCCTAAGTCTAAGAGAAGGGGCTAGGTCAAAGAGTAACCCAATCCTCTCCTCCTGGGGCAGGTGAAAGATAGTGATGAGAATGGGGAAAAGGACAGGAGCAATTACGGCTAATTCCTTTCTTCTTCTTTCCGGGATGACGTCCAGGCTGAGCTGTGTGAGTGGTGACGATAGAGGTATCTACCTCCTCCTTCTCTTCGTCCTCTTCCCTTTCCTTTGCCGATGTGTCCAGGTGGACCTGGGCTGAAGGGCCTGAAAGGGAGTGCTGTTCAAGGATCTCTGATTCAGAGGTCTGGGCGGATCTTCTCCATGAGGGCTTCCTGGAGGAAGATTCAGAAAAGAAGTCTTCCTTCATAGTATCAGAGGAAGACATAGAGCTATGGCCTGGTGATGAGTTATGAAAACTAAGGTGTTTCTCTGGGACCTTAGAGATGTGACTCTCCAACGGGCTCTCAGGGGTAGAGGCCTTGGAGGTGGAAGGCTCCAAAAGAGTTTCATAGGCATGTGGCTCTAAAGGGGTTTGAGGGATGGAAGGCTTCAAAGAGGTTTCAGAGGTGTGGGTCTCTAAAGGGGTCTGGGAAGTGGAAGGCTCCAAAAGAGTTTCAGGGGTAAGGGGCTCTAAAGGGGTCTCAGAGATGGAAGACTCCAAGGGGGTTTCAGTGATAGGGGGCTCCTGTGAGTCCTCAGCAGAGGGGTCCTTTGAAGAAGGGTGCTCCTCTGCATCCATGGTGGTTTGAGGCTCTTCTATGACCTTGTCTGCCTCCATCTAGTGGTAGAATAGGGTACAGGCTTCATTAGATTGGGATTGGAGGGTCTGCAAATCAGGGTTCACAGTGGGTTATGGAAATAGGAATTAGTGCACCCGAGATAGAAGGGGGAAAGATGAATTCTGAATCAGGGTATGGTGCCAGGAGTTTCACCCATGTGCTTAACCCCCATGCAGCATCCTGTTATGGGTTGTGAGGGAGCTCAAACTTAAAGATTGAAAGGCTCCACGCAGCATCCTGTTATGGGTTGTGAGGGAGCTCAAACTTAAAGATTGAAAGGCTGAAGCAGTCAGAATCCCATCAGTAGATCATAGCAGAAGACCATGCTCCAAGAGGAACCTGAACATAGCAACTTGGCTAGTCCAAGAAAAGGGTCCTGGGCAAACCTTAGGTCTGTGGGGAGGGTCAGGCTGTAGAATTCTAGGAACTGGAAATTCCAAGCCCAAGTGAGGGTTTGCTCCCAAAAGTACAGGAGGATGCCATGATGGCAGGGCCCTCTTCACAGTCTAGTTTTGTCTATGGACCACACACACCTTTCCTTGATGATGTTATTCATGTTCAAGACTTCAGCTACTTCCAGCTGTATGCTGGTGACTCTTAAATCCAAAATTCCAGCTCAGACCTCTTTAAACCCCTATATTTCACATTCATACCCACTGGCTGCTGGACATGGCTAAATGGATGTACACAGGGCACCAAACTGAACTCTGGGAATTAGCATAGTCTTCTCCTTTTCTCTCAGCCTTTGTCTTCAATAGGCCCAAGGACTGTATTTCCTATCTTCTATCCCTAAAGTCCATTTTCTCCTCTCTTTTCCCTCCAATTTTGTTCAAGCTCTTACCATTTTCTACCAGGATTATGTAATAACTATGCCCCTCTGCTGCCTTCCCCAGCATATTAATCCACTCACCCATTCTTTCATTGATTTATGTAACTTACACTTTTATAAAGGGCCTAATCGTACACTTTTACTCAAGCACTGTGCTAAGTACTGGACTCAGTTGAAAGAATTTGGGAAGGAGATAGATTAACCAAAATGACAATACAAATGAGCTGTGTTGTGCTGGGGTAAGTCCAGGATGCTGTGGGGGAGTGGAGTGTGCCTTATTTGTTTTGGAAGTATGTCCAAAGGAAGTGAATCTTCCTTAATGACCCAATTGAAATCTTTCTAAAATGCAAACCTAACAATGGCATCCCCTTGCTTAAAAATACTCAGTGACTCAGCCTAAGGATTAAGTCTAAATTTCTTGGTCCTGACATTCAAGGCCTGTCATCATTTGCATCAGTGCCTAAGGATTCTAGCCTTAACTTTCCCTGCTCCCTATTTTCCCCCTCATGCCCCAGAGATACTAAGTACATCACTTAAACTCATCGAAGCCCTTCAAAAGGGGAAGTTTGAGACAGGAAGTAGAAGGAGAGGTAGAATGGTGGGGAGGAAGATGACCAGACATTCAGCAAGAGGAAAAAGGGACCTGGGGTTGGAGAACCAGAAGATTGGAAGAGAGGAAGGGAAATAGAAGGGGAGGAGGAAACTGGCTGGAAGGGGAGGGTTAAGATGAAAAGTAGAGAATGGGAGGGGGTTGAACTGAGGAGGGAAGGGACAGAAAGTATTAGGAGGGAAATGGGATGAAGGTTTAGAGTAGGGGCCATTGGAGAGACTACATACCTTTGGGCTTTGGCTTGGCTGTTACAAGTCCTTAGGTCATGATCTTGTTTGAAGCTGGGAAGGGGAAGCGTTAGCCCCAAGGGAAGCAAGGCTCTTGGTTGTGGATGAGACCTGGCTTCAGGGCCTGTGTGGTGACAGGCCTTGCCTGCAAGTCTATGACTTGGGGAAGAGACTTGAATTCCTGCAGAAATTAGCAAAGGAGCTCTGTCCAGATCTGAAGAAGGGTGGGAGGGGGAGGGACTAGGGGTCCAGGGCTGATGAAGGTGGGAGTTGACTAAAGCCTCTGGAACCCAGACCGGGATAGATGGGATCTCTCACCAAGGCAACCGGAACGCCCAGTAATCTCAGTGTCAACAGCAGTCTGGTCACTTCCCCAGTGGGTGAGGTCTCCTCAGGGGGCTGCATTGGACCTGGAGGGGACGAACCTAGAGGGTTCACTTCTTTTGAGGAGGTTTGCAGGATATCTTTGAGAGTCTCTGGGTAAGGTTTGCGGATTATCTGTGGGGATGTCCGTGGGTGTCTGGGTTTATGAGGGTCTCTGTAGGGTTCCTATGAGCTGTCTTGGCGCAGTGGGGGTCTGAGGATATGAGGAGAGCATGGTGGGTGGGTGGTTGAAAGCAAGGACTCGGGTAATTGGGGCTAGGGCGGAGTCTGTCCTCGGAGCCCAGCAGGACCAAGTTAGAGACCAATAGAATAGGGAAGGGGGCGGGCTTTACTGAGAAGAACCAATCGAACTGACCGAGGGGCGGAGCGCCACACGCCGTCAGGCGGAGGCCGCCGCCGCGGGGCCTGGTTATCGCCGTTCAGCGCAGCCGGGAGTCGCCAGGCCTGAACTCCTACCCAGGTCCCCGGCTCGGCCTCAGCCGGCCCGACCCCGGCCCCGGGCCCGCGAGGACACCGGAGGCTACCCCCCGGGGGTGGGGAGCGGAGCCGCGG